AGAATGGAAATCCTAAGAGGTCTTGCCTTTGGCCACTCGGAAGTCATCAAGCATGCATGAGAGTTGAGGACCAGCGGCTTACTCACTAGCCACAAAGACAATATCTGAGAGCAGTCTTTGAGAATCAGCGGCTGCCAGAGATTTACCAAGAAAAAATATTTAAAAGTTTAAGTTCTCTCCCTCCAGAGGAGCAAAAAAAAGTATGCTGTGTTCCTCCGAGTCCTGCTGATCCCATATTTGTGCCCTCTTCCCACCTACACAAACACAACTGGATGACTCCCTCTCGATTGGACAAGGAACAGGCCAGGGCCAAGTCTAACATGTGCAGATGCCAGGCTTAGGGATGAAGACTTCAACGGGCCAGCGGGTGGAGGCTCCCCAGTCATGAAGGACAGTCACATTCCTCTCAGCTTTAGGAGGCAGGAGTTGGGAGGCAGAAGAAAGACAAGGAGAAAATACCAAGAATGGTTGAAAGAATGTTACCATTCCTGACCCTGATATTAGAGCAATGTCATACTCATCAAAACACAAAGTCAGCATTACATCTTTTCAATGACCCCCACAGGAAGGATTGACTTTAATACAGCAAGTTGTTCATTCCTACTGGTAGATTTCCTTTTATAGCACATACTTTTTAAGTTATCTCTAAGAAGTCTGCCAGACACTAAAAATGTCCTATTTCTTTTGAGACTTCCTATACTTTTAGCTTTATAGTTAGTCTTAAGAAACAACAAATTGGGCCCAGTGGTGTGGCCTAGCAGCTAAAGTCCTCGCCTTGAACGTGCCAGGATCCCATATGGCTGCTCGTTCTAATCCCGGCAGCTCCACTTCCCATCCAGCTCCCTGCTTGTGGCCTGGGAAAGCAGTCGAGGACGGACCAAAGCTTTGGGACCCTGCACCCGTGTGGGAGACCCAGAAGAGGTTCCTGGATCCTGGCTTCAGATCGGCATAGCATCGGCTGTTGCTGTCACTTGGGGAGTAAATAATCAGATGGAAGATCTTCCTCTCTGTCTTTCCTCCTCTCTGTATATCTGACTTTCCAATAAACAAATAAATCTTTTTTTAAAAAAGATACAACAAACAAAATCTGATGTATACCTAAGGAACACTGGGAGATAGTTTTAAACCTTTATTCCATGGATCCAGGACAGTATGGGAGGGGGCAAATATGCTCCTCCCACTGAGCTGCCAAATATGTGGTTTATCCCTGGACTCCAATTCCAGGAACTGGGGCTGGCATAGTGCCATAACAAGCTAACCCTCTACCTTCAGCATCAGCATCCCTTATGGATGCCAGGTCAGGCTTCGTGGCTCCACTTCCAATCCAGTACCCTGCTTATGGCCTGGGAAAGCAATGAAGCTTGGCCCAAGTCCTTGGGGCCGCTGCACCCACGTGGAAGACCTGGAAGAATTTCCTGGCTCCCAGCTTCAGAGCGGCTCAGCTCTGGTCTTTGTGGCCATTTGGGAGTGAACCAGCAGATGGAAGATCATATTCTCTCTCACTCGCTCTCCCTTTCAAATAAACCTCTGTGTAAAAATTCTGTAGATTTTATGGTGATACCATACCTTCCTATCACTGTGGCTTCGAAATCAATCTTAAAGTTACATAATATAACCTCTACACATTTATTTATTCAAATTGTATGGTCTACTACAGCTTGTTTAAATACAGATTTTATAATCAGATTTTGTATAACCACCTTACATACACATACAAACCGCCAGAAAGCCTATTTGTATTTGGCTAAGAGTGAGTTAAACCTTTTGAATGAAGACTGACAGGTTAAAAATATTGTATCCAGGACATGACATATATTCCATTTAAATCTTCACACATCTTTCTCAACAATGTTCCGTGGTTTTCCCCCACACAGGTCTTTCAGATCTTCTGTCAAATTTATCACTAACATTTTCACTGTTTTGAATAGTATTGTTATAGTTTAGCTTATAAACTCATATGGAAAATATGTCAAGTGTTGTATATATATGTCTTGTATCTTGCAACCATGCTAAGCTGATTCATTACTCCTAAGAGCTTTCTGGAAGACCACCATCAGTTTCTCTACAAATGACATACGAGTTTTAATTCTCTCCCAAGGCCTTACCTCGAAGCTGGTAGTGGCGGAAATGCAGCCAGCAGTCACCAGGAGGCATCTGAGTGAGATTCCTATACAAGTGTTTTATCAAACTGAACACATTTCCTTTAATCCCTTATTCACTTCAGACTTCCAACATGATTTGTCAGTATTGAATTGTGAGACTCTCGCCTCAATTAACCATACTATTTTCTTGCAGTTAACATGGTGAATTATACTACTTAGCTTTCAAATGGTACATATATCTAGCACTCTTTGGATAAACCTCATTTGATGAAGACATATTATCCTCTTCTTGTAAGGATAATTTAAGACTGGGTCAGCTGAAGCATTTGCTGACAGACACGAGGGGCAAACGTCTGGCTTAGGCATCAGAAATGCTGACCTCTTTTCAACTTCAGCTGGCTGCCAGAGCTGTAGACACAGTATCATTTCTTCACTTTTGCGGTAACATTTACCAATACAGCCATCTATGTTTATCTTATAGCTCTGTGACTCAAAAATTCAGTCTATTTCATTGACAGGGCTGCTGAGGCCTTCCGATTTTTACTTGAATGACCTGAGATAATCTGTATCTTCCAGGGAACTTGTGTGTTCATCTCATCTAATTTGCCATCTAACAGCCTGACCTCTGGAAAACCGGCACTTGATGTCACCTCTCCTGTTCCTGAGAGCAGGAACCTTGCGCTCCATCTGGTGGAGGCCTGCAAGTCTTCCCGCACTCTCCAGCGACCCAGATCTGCTGCAGGAACCCTCATCCATCTCTTCCCAGCACCACTGCCTTCCGCTCTTTGCATTCCCCTGACTTGTCTTGTACTTTTCCCAGTTTACTCTCCAAGTTTCTGAAGTGGAAGCTAAAACCACAAATATGAGACTTTTTGTTTCTAACATAGGTATTTAGTGCTATAAATCTCCCACTGTGTCCTGTCTGAGTCACACCAGAACTACATTGACACAAAAAGTCAATGGTTTTCCACATACCGACAATAACTTAAAAAAATAAAAAAGAAAAACATCTGAAAGTACTCCTAAATTTTTTAAAAAAAGATTTATTTATTTTTATTGGAAAGGCAGATATACAGAGAGGAGGAGAGACAGAGAGGAAGGTCTTCCATCCAGTGGTTCACTCCCCAAACGGACACAACAGCCAGAGCTGAGCCAATCCAAAGCCAGGAGCCTCCAACGGGTATCCCACACGGGTGCAGGATCCCAAGGCTTTGGGCTGTCCTCGACTGTTTTCCCAGGCCACAGGCAGAGAACTGGACGGGAAGCGGAGCAGCCAGGATTAGAACTGGTGCCTATATGGGATCCCGGGGCGTTCAAGGCGAGGACTTAAACCACCACGTTATCACACCAGGCCCAGTACTTCCAAATTAACAACACAGGATCTGTGTGAGGAAACTGTAAAATGCTGATGAAAGAAACTCGATATATAAATGACACCTTGTGTTCAAGATTACAAGGCTCCCAGTCACGAAAACTGAATTCTTCTTAAACTTGCCTATGGATTTAACGCAATTCCAAAGTCCCAGCAGAACTCCTCTATAAACTGATTTCACAATTTATATGGAAAGGTAAAACAGACAGAATAGCTGAAATAATTTTGGAAAGGAAACATGAAGCTGGAGGAAGTGTACTCCAGATTTTCAGACTTACCCATGCGGCCTGGACAAAAGAGACAAAGATGAATGGAAGGGAGTAAGAGGTGATGCGACAGGCCGACAGCAACACAGGGAAGCAGCTGGAATCCAGTACAGACAGGACAGCCTTTCAACAAACAGTGCTGGGGCAACCTAGACACTTACATACACACAGACACCAACACAGACTACACACCTCACGCTTTGAAACCAGCTAGCCAAAGCAGATCAAAACGCAACATGTCACAAGTACAATAACAAGACAGAACCCCTTGGGAGGTGGGCTGTGGGCCGTGATTTCTTAGTCATGACTCCAAGACAAGCACAATCCCTAAAAGAACACAATAAATTAAACGTTGTCAAATTAAATAAAAGCCGAAGTCAGGGAGAGACGTGACAAAGCACAAATGCAACAAGTGTATTTATAATACATAAAGCTTCATCAACAGCAGACAGAGGGAAAACAACCCTCTTGAACAGACTCTAGATCAAAGACACACAGATGGCCAATAAATACATGGGAAGACATCCTCCCTCCCCAGCCACGGGGAAAGGCACATTAAAACCACGATGAGCTCTCACTGTACACCTGCTAGAACAGCTGACAAGGCCCAGGCTGCTGCAGAGGGCAATCCCTTCTGCTGAGCAGTAACCTTTTCTTCAACACCCCGCATCAATATGCGTATAAAACCCGTGATATTTGGATCCTGTGATCTCAGACAAAAAAAAAAAACATGATTTTCCAGTTTACACAATACAGTTTTCCAGTCAGAACATATGAAATGGATCTAAATCGGGGAACAGATATATGTGTTCGAACCAATCACAGGACACTTCTCTGCACGGACGGTGCTAGGAACGTGATTTGGCTGCAAAGTCATGCAGAGGTTTAAACCCATCTCAGACCGACGGTGCCAGAGGCTAAAGGGGCTGCAGGCAGCGCCTCTGGGGAGTGACTGATGGGGGCAGCGGTTGGGGTGGGGTCCCCAGGACAGAATTATGGTGGTTTTGTAGACCTGTCGACAGAGGAGCGAGTTCCACGTCTTCCTGCCTGCTGTGTGATCCCCTCCCTGCACTACCTCACCATCTACCGCCAAGGGGGCTGTCCAATCGTGGACCAGGAACCTCCAAAACCCATCTGAATACACCTTCTTCCTTCCAAAACAGCTTTTCTCAGGGATTTTGATGAAAAGCTACCTAAAACACAATCTTCCCAACCCCATTTGCATGCATTCACTATTTTCTTTCTCTTTTTTTTTTTTTAAAAGCATTGGGTGCTTAGCCTTTATTTTGTCCTAAATTCTGTCCAGGTTCAGATCCCAAATGTTAAGTTTCCAGGCTACACGGCCTCAGCTGCATGACTCCACTGCAATCAAAGCAGGGCAATTGGGGGCAATAGATAGAACAGGGATTTCTAATACAAATGCGTTCCAAAGAGCTTCCACAGCTGGATGCAGCCTGCTTTGGCCCGGGGACTCTGACTTGCTGACCCCTCTTGCACAGGCTGGCCAGCTGACCAATCATTTAGAACGCAGCAGGCAGCTGGCAGGCAGGACCAGGGCCAGCCTTGATCGGCAAGAAGCGTTGTTAACAGCTACCTGCCTTGCTTGGAAATACCTCACTGCTTACAAGCACTGGTCCCAAGATGGCTTTGACGGACATGTCCCCTCTTCTCCAAGCACGGCCCATGCCTCAGCAATGCACAGGCTGTGTCAGGTTCATTGGCCACCCAGCAAGCCTGGCTCCTGAGAACTGACACAGCTGTAGAGACCCGACTCTCCCAATGGACACACTCGCCCTTACAGACTAGGAGCACCCAGGAAGACAGGAAGCACCTTCACCTGTCCCATGGAGAAAGGATTTGGCGTGTTTCTCGGAGTATCCAGCACCAGGATGACCCACCTGGTCAGTTACCTCCGCGGGGGGATCAAGATCTTGACGCCCGCCACCTGAGTGGCCCACAGCTGCAGGCGTGGTGCTGAGGTCCCAGGCTTGAGGATACCCACGGAAAACTTGAAGGAATACACTTTATTAATCTAGCTCTCACACACTAGAGACAAAAACTCAGCAAACTATAACATCCTATTTACAGAGTGCCGCCTGTGGGTGAGCGTGGGGCTAGGCTTGGTTCTTCCCCACCCACCCACCACATCCATCCTCCCAACGGGCCTGGGGCCACCTTGCACCTGCAACATAATCACCAGGCAGACAGAGGATGTCTACATAAAAAGGCCCTCAGCCTGGCAGACAAACCTAGTGAGAGACAGACAGACAGACGCGAGCGGAGCCTGACAAGGAGGCCACAGCCTGCCTCAGTGCTTCTTGAGGCTGTAGGCCAGGCTGCCAGGGACCCTGGGGCCCTTCAGGGGTGGGGAGTTCCAGACAGCAGAACTGGTGCGCTTGTGGTAGCGAGGCTTGCTCTTCTTGAAGATGTCCTCCAAGTCCAGGGGGAGAATGACTCCAAAGAGTTCCAGAAGGTTCGGAGGGTGGTAGTACTGGTGGACGATGGCCTGGCTGAGCTGGGTACCTGCAGGGACAAGTGGAGGTCTGGGTCACAGGAGGTCTTGGCCTCTCCAAGACCATCCTGTGTCCTGCCCTGCTACCCACACTGCCTTGACATCCTCTTAACCCCACATCCCTCAACCTGCACCAACTCAGCCTCCTCTTCCAGCGCCCTCCCCCACTCACTCCCGCCAAGCACTGGGGATGCTGCTGGTTCCCATCCTTGCTGCTGGCCTCCTGCACTCACATCGCAAGATCTCCCACATGCTCGGCTCCTCTCTCTACACCACAGCCTGGGACACGGGGGCTTCACTCTAACCCAGAAAGGGAGACAATGCAGAAACCACGCGTGTCCTCATTCTGCCTATACTGCTGCCACTCTCGGCTGTTCCCACACCCGGTGTACTGGGACAAGTCTCACAACCCCTGCTGGGCTAGATTCTAAGGAGGGACCTCGGGTCCAGGAGAGAACGTCCAGCAGCCCTGTCACTCAGGCAGCAGCTATTTAATGCCTGCTGAGGACAGAGGAGTCCAGTGCACAGGTATGGTCTGTGGGGGCCACACCCTGCCCTGCCGGCACGCTCAAAGCCGAAAGCAAGCTCACCAGACCAAGGGGGGCTCCCAGCCCACATCACAACAGTCTCCTGCCACCTGCAGTGCCCAAGCCACCATTTCCAGATCCCTACTAAAAAGTAAAGGCAGCCAAGGCCCTGCCTCCCGGGGAGCTCTGGCCCTGCTTACCTCGGGCCCAGTTGGGAATGGGCTTCCGGGGATGCGCCTCGTCATCGGTGGAGTCGTCGCTGTTGAGGTCCATCCCATAGTTATCTGGGTTGATCTTGGGGGGAGCCCTGTGCCCCTGTGGAGTCATCTGATACGAGGTACAGACTGGAGACTGGAACAAAATCGACACGGCTGTCAGCTCCTCCATGAATTCCCGCAGCACTCACCGCCACGGGGTACTGGGACTCCTCCCCTCATGTCACAGCAGAAACTAGACAGTTCAGAGTCAGTGTTGTGGCACAGCAAGTTAAGCTGTCTCCTCCAGTGCCATCACTCCAAATGGGCACTGGTTCAAGTCCCAGCTCTCTGTTACTGAGTCCAGGAAAGCAGCAGAAGACAGACAGCTCCCTGGGCCCGTGTCACCTACATGGGAGGCTCAGAAGAAGCTCCTAGTTCCTTGTTTCAGCCTGGCACAACTCTAGCTATCACGGCCCATTTGAGGAGTGAACCAGTGGATGGAAGATCTCTCTCCACTTCTCATTTTATAACTACCTTTCAAATTTAAAAAAAATTTTAAGGAAGGACAGGACAAGAAAGGGAGGGAGGAGGGAGGAAAAATGGATGGAATAAAGGGATGAAAAGAAATTAGAAGGCTCAGGTATCACTTTCTCACTATAAAAAAAAAAATCACAGAACACATAGTAGCCAGTTGCTTTCTTTTCCATGTTAACATCAGGAACAAGCTTTGTTCCAGGTCAGCAGAGAAACTTCCTCTGAAACAGCTCCAGGAAACACAACACCCAGCAGATGTGCGCACTGAGCCAACTCCCAAGTTTGCACGGCTCAGCGATCTTGCAAGGGAAGTCTCTGCCTGGCTTCAGTCTCATTTGTTAACTGCACTGAACCAAAACAGAACAAGACGTGCCAGCCACATCCCAGTAAACTGGAACACAGCAGTCAAATCAGGCATCCATGTGCTGAAAAGGCATCTACAGTGTACGGAAGGAAAAAGACAAGCCACCAAAGGCATATTTGCGCCGTGTGTGCGTATGTGTGTGTGTGTGTGTGTGTGTCCACGTGAGTGTATGAGTGATCTGTGCTGTGCTGTGTGTGAGAGTTCATGTGAGTGTATGAGTGGTCTGTGCCATGTGTGAGAGTCCATGTGAATGTATGAATGGTATGTGCCGTGTGTGTGTGTGTGTGTGTGTGTGTGTGTGTGTGTGAGTCCACGTGAGTGTATGAGTGGTCTGTACCATGTGTTAGAGTCCATGAGTATATTGGTCAACCAGGCAAACATCTAGACACACGCAAGCAGGCTAGGTAGGAAACACCGAGGGTACTTACCCAGCACTCTTGTTTTAAGATTAAGTTATTTGAAAGGTAAAGTTACAGAGAGGGGGAGAGAGCTTCCATCTGCTGGTACACTCCTCAGATAGCCAAAATGGCCAGGACTGAGGCAGGCTAACCATGAGCCCAGAGATTCTTTTGGGTCTCCCCCATGAGTACAGGGACCCGAGCACTCAGGCCACTCCACTGCATTCCCAGACACATTAGCAGGGAAGTGGAACAGACCAGTCTCAAACCAACATCTGCATGGGATGCCAGTGTCACAGAAGCAGCTTAGCCTGTTAGACCACAATTCCAGCCCACTTTCCAGCTTTTTATACTCTTTTAGTCTGGGTTGTTTTTTTTAATAACAAATTCTACTTTCAGAATATGAAGAAATACACATATCAAAAATATGTACAATGGGTCCAGCACGATAGCCTACAGGCTAAATCCTTGCCTTGCATGCACCAGGTTCCCATATGGGTGCTCGTTCTAATCCCGGCAGCTCCACTTCCCTTCTAGCTCCCTGCTTGTGTCCCAGGAAAGCAATGGAGGATGGTCCAAAGCTTTGGGACTCTGCATCCGTAGGGGAGACTGGGAGAAAGCTCCTGGCTCCTGGCTTCGGGTCAGCTCAGCTCCGGCCATTGCAGCCACTTGCGGAGTGAACCAGTAGACCGAAGATCTTTCTCTCTGCATCTCCTTTTCTATGTATATCTGCCTTTCCAATTAAAAAAATACAAAAGTATAAAATATATATAAAGTATAAAAAAGTATAAAGTAGATACACATAAAAACTACAAAACTAAAAATGTTAAAATAGTATATATTATTTAAAAAACCCAACAGTGCAGTAATCTTTGCCTTTCTTACAGTTGGCGCCTGTAGCTACTGGGGGCTAACAAGTCTAGAGGGGCCTGGCCTCACCTGCCCATCCATGGTCATGTTCAGGCCCTTGCTGGCCCCTGCAGCCTCCTTGGCTTTCTTCTCCTGCTCTTCCTGCAGCCTCTGCTCTGCCAGGCGCTGCTGTTCTTCCTGGGACACAACCAGCCCCAGTGTTAAGAGAGCTGTGTGTGCCTCCTCTCCCCCTCACTGACCCATGCAAGGCAGGTTGGGCAGCCACAACCAGGCTGCTAGGCTGCTAGGCCTCCAGGCCTCCCCACCCTCCCCAGAGCACAGCTCTGTGTGCAGCCCACACCCGGGGGGGGGGTTACATCCCCAGCACCCCTCACCTTCTTTTTCTCCTCCAGTTCTCTCTGCAGCTGCTCCTTCTGCAGCTGCAGGGCCTTCTCCCTCTCCTGCAGCTCCCTGTGGATCCATGAAGAACTGTCAGCACAAGAGGCAGAGCCCTGGCCCTGTTCCCATCCCTGCCAGGGAAGCCACACCCCACAGGACCAGCACTGGGAGACAGGGCAGAAGAACGGGCATACTGGCCAGGCTGGGAAGAGGCCCCCCCAAGGGGGCAGGGAGCAGGAGCCAGACCCTAGCTTTGGAGTCTGCCCCTGCTCTGCACACAGCCTGTGTCAGAGCCTCACACCTCCCTCACGCTGCAGAACACAGCACCTTTACTCCAGCTGGTCCTGAGGGTCCGATGGGACGGTTTGCACCGCTCTGGTCACCCTGACCCACAGGGCGGACAAGGGCTGCTGACTGCCTGGCTCATGACTCCAAGCAAGGCACATACCTGATCTGACTCCCTCCCCTACCGTGAGGGGTCCCCACACCACAGTGGACTTCAAGCAAAGAAACATGAATTGAAAACACAGGCCAGCACCCAGCACAGCCACCCATCATGGCCATCATTCTGCTGTCCCCACCCCAGCCTCTAGCACCGCCCAGAACCATCCACTGCTAAAACCACATCTACTGTCACACCCCCCTTCTCTCCTCACCACACTCCTTCCTCTGAACACACACAGCCAGTGACCACTGGGTGTCACAGGCACCAGAGGCACTGGCACACCCAGCCCTCTGGCGGCAAGCCCTCCTTCCCCCTCACCCCCAAGCCTGTGCCCAGGGCAAGACAGAGAACAGCTATGGGGCCAGCATGTCTGCACAGCCAGGGCACACTTCTCTGTCTCCGCACTCACAGGACCCCAGGGGTCTCCCCACCAACACTGAGTGCGGCTCATTATCCAGACACAGGGCAAACCTCAAATAAATGCTTGTAAAATTAAGTGTGGGACTGTTATCTTGTCACATAGGAATTGCTGTCTTGGGAGACAGTGGAGCTCATAGGGTCCAGGGGCCAACAAGGGCAGTCTGGAAACATGGTGTGTGTGTTGGTCGGGGGGAGGTACCTGGGTCACCATCACCGGGACAGGTGCATTCTATCAGGAAGCAGGCAAGACGCTGCGCCCCCGGCACATCCCACCAAACTCCCTCCCGCCCAAGTGCCTACCGAGGCCCTAATAACAAGGAGCTTCTCCAACCAGGCCCTGCTGTGTTAGCTGAGGGGGTCAGAGCTAAAACAAAACCCTGAGAAACCCCACCCTGTATGCCTCAACCCTCATAGCCAGCCCACTCGGGCAGCCGCCAACCACGGGCAGCTGGGTCCAGAGCTAAGAAAAAGCTTGCACCTAGGCGATGGCCACAGCTGTGCCCCTTAAGCACTCGGTGTTCACACACACGCCACACCCGGCCGACTGGCACCTCCCTCACCTCTCAGCCTGCAACCGCTCCTGCTCCCTCCGGCGCTCCTGCTCGCGTTGCTCGGCCAGGCGCCTGGCATCGGCCACCCTGCGCAGCCGCTCCTGCTCCTCCTCCTCCTTCCTTTTCTTCTGCAGCAGCTCTTGTCTCCGCTCCTCCTCCTCCTGAGATGGGACCAGGGCAAGGTCAGGGGGAGGGAGGCAGGCTGCCACCCAGCAGCCACCACCACAGACAGCAGCAGGAACTGGGCTATAGGACTGCAAGACTCTGCAAGAATTCCCCATGGCCAAGCCTACAAGGCATCTGGGATAAGGCCTGCAGGCAATGTGCTGACTCAGGGCAGTCCCTACAAGCTGTGTGACACTGGCACTTAACTCCTCACCCACAAAGTGGGAACAGCAGCAGCACCCATACCCTGTGGAGGCGCTGTACCCAAACACAGCTGGGACAGGCAGACAACACACCTTAGTTACCAGTAATACAGTGTCTGATGACAGACCTGCCTTCCCTAGAGTCTGACAGGTGTCCTACCCTCACAGGCAGCACATCCTGGGATGTTACAACAGCAACCAGCCACACACACAACATTTGGCATGCGCAGAAGCCACCTAAGCACCGCAGGTGGACACCACCACAACAGGAAGTCACAGGAGCAGAGACAGGTCAAGTCGCATGCCCGAAGTTGTGTGGCCACTAAACAGTACTGAAATGGGGAGCTGAGCTCCAAGCCTGCAACACAACCCTCCAACTGCTGTTTCCACAGAGCACAAGAGGCAGATTCCTGTCACTGTCCCTGTCCCCCAGATTTTTATGGGTCTCCTTTTGGGCTTAAAGCAGCAAACTCCACCAGGATCGCCCACAGAACAGGATATGCCCAGCAGGTCTTCCTAGCACTGGGGCCACACCACCCTGCTCCACCTCCAGTCTGCCGTGCCCAGCATTCACCTGCTGCAGCCATCTCAGCCTGCGGGCCTCCTCCTCCTGCTTCCGGCGGGCCTCCACCTCCTCCATCTTCTTGGCTGCTGCCTTCTTCTTGGCTTTCTCCTCAGCCAGCCGCTCCTCTTTGGCCTGCAGAGCACACCTGTGTGTGCTCACTGGAGCAGCACCTTCCCCAGCACAGCTGACTGGGGCCCCAGAGTGACGAGCACCCCATTTCCGCCTAGGAACCCTGCTCACCGCCCCAGGCCAGGGAGAAGACACTGGAAGCCAATCCTGCCCAGAAACATCTGACCCCATCACCAAGCCAAGGGCTATTGGGAAACCCAGAGCAGAGACCTTCAGCCCTCAGCATGGCAGGACATAGGCCCAGAGTGTCAACTTCAAACTGACCATGGGATCCATTCTGAAACCATGGGCCCCCAAGTCTGCGTCTCTCTGCCCCCCAGGCAGCCCAGGCTCCCTACCCCAGCACCCCGCCTTTTAGGGCCCCCCACCCCGGCAGCCCAGCCTCCCCCACCCCGGCAGCCCAGCCTCCCCCACCCCGGAAGCCCAGCCTCCCCACCCCGGCAGCCCAGCCTCCCCCACCCCAGCAGCCCAGGCTCCCTCACCCCAGCAGCCCAGGCTCCCTACCCCGGCAGCCCAGCCTCCCCCACCCCGGAAGCCCAGCCTCCCCACCCCGGAAGCCCAGCCTCCCCACCCCGGCAGCCCAGGCTCCCTACCCCGGCAGCCCAGGCTCTCACCTTCTCGGTCTTCTCATCGAGCTGAGCAAACTTCTGCTCCATCTGCTGCTTCTTCTCCTGCTTCATCCTCTCCACCCGCTCGCGGGCCTGCAGAACCTTGCGGAGGCGCTCTTCTCGCTTCCTGCGGGCATAGGGCAGTCATGGGGAGCCCAGACAAGGGGGGGCCAGACGGGACCGGGCCAGGCCACTTACAGCTTCACCTCCTCCAGCCGCCGCCGCTTGTCCTCCTCCACCTTCTGCCTGCGCAGCTGATCGGCCTCCTCCTTCCGCCGCAGGTTCTCCAGACGCTGCCGCTCCTTCTCCTTGGGGGGCAGGCGGCATTGGGGTGTGAGCGAGGACAGCACTCCAACCCCAGCAGTGCCCTCCAGCCCTCAGCCAGGTGCAGCAAAACACATCTCGGGGGCAGCGTCTCTTGTTGCCCACCAGGGCCAGGCCTGCGCCTTCAGCTCCCCAGCACCCTCTGCTGAGCCCTGCCAGCCATGGGCAGCAGACACCGGGCTCAGAGACAGATGCGCTGACTCTAAAGCCACATACAGTGCAGCCGAGAAGAGAATGAAGACTGGGATGGGGAAGATTCAGCAAAGCAGCTTCAACCCTCACGGTTACTGTGCTATTTAAGGGGATACTGGGTACCAAGGGGGTAAATTATGACTTGTGGGGCTGTGTTGTGAAGAGGGTTAAGCCACTGCCCATGGCACCAGCATCCCACATGAATGCCAGTTCAAGTCCTGCCTACTCCACCTCCAGTCCAGCTCCCTGAAGACAGACAGGAAAGCAGCAGAAGACGGTCCGAGTGCTTAGAACCCTGCCACCCACCAGAGACCAAGAGCTCCAGGTTCCTGAATTCTACCTTGCCCAGTCAGAATTGGTGTAGTCATTTGGGGAGTGGAGTGAGCCAGGTCTGTCTCTGCCTCCTCCCTCTAACTCTTCCTTTCAAATAAATGAATAAAATCACTAGGAAAAAATAATTATTATTACACTTTACATCCAGAGTGAACGTTCCTTAATCCAGATGTTTCGTCCTAGAAGTTTCAGATTTGGGGGTAAGTGCATAGACTTTACTAGTCAAGTATCCCTAATCCAAACATCTGAAATCCAGAATACTCCAACTTGAGCACCACACTCTAGACACATGAACAGGAGACTCCTGAGCAGGACCCACGCTAGCCACGCACACACACACACCGGGGACTGAGCCAAGAGCGCCAGAAAGGATGACCATGGGAACCACACCCCACAGACGCTGGGTCAGACTCTGTGGCCAGAATCACTACTGCTACTCAACTGAAAAACAGGGACATTCAGGCCCAGGACCCTTCGGCAGCAGTCCACACAGGCACCAGCCCAAGTGCTGACCGTTCGACTGTGGGTCCAGCACCCTGCCGGCGTGCCTGGAAAAGCAGAAGATAGATCAAGTCCTTGGGTCTTTGCTGTCTATGTGCGAGACCTGAAAAAAGCTCCTGGCTCCCCAGCTTCAGACAGGCCCAGCTTGGGCCATGTGGCTATATGGGGAATAAATCACCAGAGGGAAGACTTCTGTTTCACTAACTCTACATTACAAATAAATACATCTAAAAAAAAAAAAGGTGAGCGTTTGCCACAAAATTCGAGAGTTGTCCTCCCAATACAACATTCCAAACATTGAAGACACGATCCAGAATTACTCAACAGGCACAGAAACGGAAAGACCTCAACCACCATGGGAAAAGGTGATCAACACAGCATGCCCGGGGGCAGGAATGCTGGAATTCTCTGACACGCTCCTGCAGCTCCTGCAAACATTCCTTCAGACATGTGTGACACAACCAGAAAAATTTTCAAGATAGTAACTGAAGTTTTAAGAACTCAATGAATGATCTCAACAGTAAAATGACAGTGCCAACTCGAAGATGCATCGGTGAGATGACTCAGGTGGGTGTCTGACCCAGTAAGAGGTGACCCAGGTCACCAGCATCCCCACAGTAGTGTCTGAGTGAGTCCCAGTACACTTCCCAACTCCAGCTTCCTCCTAGCACACACACTGGGATGGAGCAGGCGATGGCTCAAGTATGTGGGCTCCTCCCCAAAAGTGAAAGGCCAGATGGAGACCTCAGCATGGTCCAGTCCCCTAGTGGGCACAGAGGCCTCAGCATAGCCCAGTCCCCTAACAGGTATGGAGGCCCCAGCCTGGCCCGGTCCCCTAGCGGGCACGGAGGCCCCAGCCTGGTCCAGTCCCCTAGCTGGTATGGCATTTCAGGAGTGAACCAGTAGGTAGAAGCTCTTTACGTCTCTCTCTGTACTGCTACTTTTAAAAATTGTAAAAGAACATTACAAGGCATGTGGTGTGTGTTGAGTGCAGAGGGAAAAGGGTCATGCTAACAAGAACATGTGAAGGAGTAACAGCTGGAAATGCCAGCTCTGATGAAAGCCAGAAACCTGAGACTCCAGGTCAACAAACCACAACTGGAACAAAACCTAAGACACCCATGATCAGACACATTAAAGACAAAGGCAATGGGCAGAAACAGCCAGACAAAACAGACAAATCATTCAGAGAGGACCAACCATGGAACGGCTCAAAACTTCCCACCACAAATCACAGAAGCCAGAAGTTTTCAATAAAAATAATAATAATAATAATAATTTTATATCCTGTGAAATATCCTGCAGGAGAAAGAGGGGAACTAGGAATCTTCAGATAAAGGGAAACTAAGAGAATTGTTTTCTATCCAACTGCTACAGAATTTCCTGAGATGGAAGAGAAATGACACCAGAAGGAACAGCTACAGTAAGCGCAGTAAGACCTGGAAAGCACAGTAACATGCCCCCACTCTCTTATCACTTTTTATTCCATTTGCTGTTAATTTTCTTTAAAGGTAGGCAGAGCTCCCATCTGCAGAGTCTCCCAGATGTTCACAACAACCAGACCAAAGCCAACACGGGGAGACTAGGGCACGGCCCTGGTGTGCTCCACCCAGGCAGGATCGCCAGCCCTGGGACTCTGCGAGTGTGTACTAACGGGAAGCCGGAAGCCGCAGTCAGGAGCAGACCCAGGCACTGAACTCAGGCACCCAGATGCGGCTGTGGACGTCCTATCCCCAGGCCAACGCCTGGGCCCTTATTTTGCTCGAGTTTCCTAACAAGTTCTACAGTTGAAAGAAAAATTAAAACAGGGCTATTTACCTCGGACAGAAGTGACAACCAAAGCACTCAATGGGAGGGGAGAAGGAAGTGAAGGGGCAGCTGTGGTGCTGAGCTGGGCACAGATTCCAGATACCACGCAAGATTGAGTGTTTGACACCTAGAACAACCAATGACTCCCAAGTGGTAGACATGACAAGGTCAGAATCACAACAGACACACACATACACAAGGATAAGGGGAAACGAAGACAAGGACAGACAAAGGCCCTGAGGTGTCTGGGAAGAGAACAGCTTCCCAGCCTGGGCCCACGCAGCCCTGAGCACAGCTCTGCCCCACCCCAGAGCAAGGCAGTCAGCCCTGACCCACCCCACCCTGCCCTCTGTCACCTCTAGGCTGCACTCGGGTCAGGCTGGTGGCTCTGGCAATCCCAGATAACTGTTCTCCTCACAGACCCCAGGGCAACCCAGTCAGTACTAGGCAGGTAGGAAACACCGCAGGTCCCACCTTTGCTTACCTCCCTCTAGCAGCTTACCTCCCTCTGGGCACAGGGGGTGGCTCTGCTGAGGACACTAGGCCAAGAACTGTGGTGCCTCCGGCCAGCCACCCTCTGACCCCCACTCCCCCTAGTACAGTGTTAGTGCTTCTACAGGTATGTCAGTTATTCAAGGACAGTGCTACAGCAAGAAAGTGCCTGGTGGCGCTAAGTCACAGGACAGGAAGAGGCTTTACTTACGACGAAGCTGCTCTGTGGAGGAGAGGAGACAAGGAGAAAGCCAAGAGTTAATGCTAGGCTGAGGGTCAACCTGCAAGGCACAGCACCGCCCAGCTGGGCCAGTGGGGCTGCCCGGGGCTGACACCATGAAGCACCTGCTCCTCCCTCAGCTCCCACAGCCATCTCCCAGCCCTCCAAGGTAAGGCAGACCATGTGGGCCTCTTACCCCAGCCGGTGACCAATGTAGGTGGTCTGTTGGGTCAATTCTGCACCTTCCCAGCACAGTGTCCAAGACCCAGCCCACACTAACTGGCCCACCCCTGGGCCAGGATGTGCAGCCAAGACCATTTCCCCAAAAGACAAAGCTGCCCAAGGCCACAAGGACCACGACCAGGCCAGGCCCTGCCCTGCCCAGACCCATGCTGAGGGCAACCTCACGCCAGCTGCAGGGGAGGCCCCTCACCTTGGGGTCCACACGCAGGGGAGTGTTGCGCTTGATGAAGGATTTCATGACGCTGCTGCGGGAGGCCGAGGTCGGGGTCATGAGCATCTGGTTCCTCTGCACTGTGTGCAGGAAGGTCCGGAGGGGCCGTACCACCTGCAGAACACAGGGTCAGGGCCCAGCGGGTGGAGCAGCATCCCAAGGGAGGCAGAGCCTGGCTCACCTTGCTGGCAGGACAGGGAGGGGAAGGGGTCTTGTTCCTGGGGGGCTGCAGCTCCTCTTCCTCCAGATGCTGCTCCTCGTCCAGCTCACTCATCGCCTGCTTGTAGCTACGCTTCCTCCTGCCAAGGTGGGGGGGGTGGCGGGGGCATGGGTGCCAGAGCCAGTCATACCCCAAAAAGATGACCCCTAGTTAGGCCTAGACAGGCTGTGGCACTCATGACAGACAGGGACTGCACCCCTGCTCCCCAGGGCAGGGAGGTGGCTGATCTGAGATTACACAACTGCAAGGACGGAGGGGAGTATGTGGCCACCACTCAGGCCACTACATTGCCACACTGGCACTCAGGTGCCAGCTCAGCACAGGCCGCCCTGCAGCGGAAGGCCACAGAATGCCCCCAGGCCTGAGGGACCCAAGTGCCCAATTGCCTCTTCCAAGTACACACCTGACGCTCTGAGGTGGCTCTCTGGGCCCATCCATTTGGTCAGCTGTGGCCTCTGTGGAGAGAGCAATTCAGTGAGGCTGCAGGAATGACAGCACAGGGGTGCCCATGGACGAATCAGCTAAGTGCCCACCAGTGGAGGCAGCCTTGGCAGGGCAAGGCTCCCCAGGGCAGCCAGCAGCAGGAGCATCAGCCCCAGCTCTGGGGGTCTTTAGGAAGCCAGGGCACGCCCTTCGCTCTGCTTCCTGCCCCAGCCAGCACTAACCACTCACAGAGCACTCAGCACCCGCCGCTCAGCCGAGGGAGGGCGCCCCAGGTTCCCTGTGCCTGTGGCATGATATCAGCCCAGGGAGCAGGGCTCCTCCTGCCCAAGCTGGCTGCCCCTCTGGAGGCGTGCCCGCAGTCAGGCAGAGACTCACCATGCTTACTTTCAGAGGACGTGTCCTGGCCACTGGCTCCATACTTTGAGCCAGGCATACTAACGGGCACCTTGGTGGCACTACGTACACACAAGGTATTCTCTTCATCGCCAGAGACCTATGGGAAGATTCAAGGTTGTGTTTCTACCTGCAGCTGAAGCTCAGGACAGCTGTGGGACAGAGCAAGGCCCTGAGGGCCCTCAAGTCCTCCCGACCCAGGCCTGCCACCTTACCTCCAGCTCAACTACCTCCAAAGGCTCCGGCTCCTTGCTGGGCTCCTGTGTGGGGCTGAAAGTAGAGCAGGAACACTGTGCGGACTGGTCAGCAAGCCCTGGCCCTTCCCAGAGTCTCCCTCAGAAGGCCAACAGCAGAAACCACGATCTGGGCCTCAAACCCACAGCCCTGGCAGTCACCAGCAGGTTCGCTCCGGGCTCTGGGCCCCTGAAGCTGGCTCCATGTCACCCATCAGAGCTTTGGCTCAGGATGGAGACCACATTCCCTCTGGGCAATGAAGACTTTCTCAGATCTTCTTTCTACTTCCCATAGCACCAGCAACACGGGCTGCCCAGTCACTGCCTCCCCTGCCCAAGCACTGACCCACTGCTCCAAGGCCAGGAGGCAGTGACCAGCTGAGGGCTGGCAGGACATGGTCCCCAGCAAAAGAGTCAGCGTCCCAGGCGCAGGCAGGGCTGGTATAATCCTGGAGAAGGAAACACCCCAGCCCCTGGGCCAACCCCCCTCCGCTCCACTCCTACTTAAAAAGTTTCTGCTCTGCCTCATCCACAGCCCATGGAGCCCTCCATGTCTCCGGGGCCAGGCCCAGCAGGGCTGGCCAATACTACAGTAGGACTGGACACCCACAGCACCATGTGGCTGGACAGCACAGAGCCTGGAGGGCAGAGGGACTGATCTGCAGCTGGCACAAGGCTCAGCCCTAGAAGCACCTCCACTCCAGGGCTCACCAGCGTGCCCTGTCCAACCCCGGGAACTAGAACTCACCTGACTTTCTGGGGCACCTCAACATTCAGGAGCCTCTCCAGGTAGCTGTGGCCTGAGGGGAAAGCCAGGAAACAAAAGAAATCATCAGTAATCAACCCAGGCCCAATCCAGGGAGACACAGGGACCCACTGGCTGGGCCATGCTCCCCCCATTGCACAAGACTTCACCCTCAGCACCAACCCCAACCGCTCTGGGTCTCCAGCTGCTTCCCAGCTGGGAGCACAGCCTTCTCAGGGCAAAGAGATCCAAAAGATAAACAAAATAAAAAATAAATAGAAACATCTTGGGAAGAAGGCCAATGCCTAATGTAGACAGGACCCAACACAAGACAAGTTATCCATTCGGCCAATCAGCCAAGCGCCTTCGATGAACTGGGTCCGGGACCTGCCCCAGGGAACACAAATGGTGAGCTGGACAGGGCTGCTCCTCAACCTTGGTGACCTCCGCCAGACAACCCAGGAGCCACGCCGCAACACTCGCAGGGACAGAAAAGGGCAGAGAACTCAAAGAAACAACAGGAGTCAGTCCAGAGCCCCTGACGTGTGGGTCAGGAGCTGGCAGGCGAGAGGGCACACGGGCGAGGGAGGAGGGCGGCAGCCCCCAAAGCGCCTTCTCCAACCCCTGCCGAGCCAGGAGCTGGGAACCACCTCCACCACCAAACTCCAATGCTACATTCCCTCTCCCAGGGATGGCGTTGGCCCTCACAACGCAAAGACACAACAGGAGCCAAGCCCACACAAGCCCTGGCGTCACTCAAGCCGCGCTGGCTTCCCAACACGATGGGGGTGCAAGACATCTTGCACTTACTGCAAATTTCGTCCAGCTACATTTCAAAATGTCCTCAGTGAAGAAGTAAAAGATACTTATTTATTAACTCAAACTCACATGAACAGTTCTGCCTTTCAAGTAAAAAATAATCCTTTTTAAAAAAAAACATACTCGGGCCCGGCGCGGTGGCGCAAGTGGTTAAAGGTCCTCGCCTTGCACGCCCGGGATCCCATATGGGCGCCGGTTCTAATCCCGGCAGCCCCGCTTCCCTTCCAGCTCCCTGCTTGTGGCCTGGGAAGGCAGTCGAGGACGGCCCAAAGCTTTGGGAACCTGCACCCGCGTGGGAGACCCGCAAGAGGCTCCTGGCTTCGGATCGGCATAGTATCGGCCCGTTGCGCTCACTTGGGGAGTGAATCATCGGATGGAAGATCTTCCTCTCTGTCTCTCCTCTCTGTATATCCGCCTTTCCAATGAAAAAATAATAAAAATAAATCTTTAAAAAAATAAAAAAAACATACTCGTTTTAATAGTTGTCAGCAGCAATTTAAAAAACTGAGCCATTAAAAAGCTCAAGTAAGCTCACTGGAGAGTCTGTACTCACCACCAGGGGTTTCACAGCTCCCTGACGAGACCAGCAGTGTCCTGCCTATTTTATGCCATACAGTCAAGTGCAGCTCCTTTAGGAGATGTGCACAACTTGGGAGATATTTTCCAAATGACTCGTGCTGGAGGTTACAAAATCACAAATAGCAAAAACTCTCACTCCATGTGCAAGCTGGACCAGCCTGCCGTTAGCAGCCGGCACCAGCAGGAGCCTCTGCCTCTCAGAAGCGCCCCCTGGTGCTGGTGCGAGTGCTAGCCGCCATCACGCAGGCACCTGAAGATAACCACGGTGCCACCCCGTGAGAGGTGTCCTGTTTTCTTCACTTTAGCCCCAAATGTGCCGCACAGCAGAGCTGGCTGCCTTCTCGGGCAGTGACATGGAAGGACACGCAGTCTCCTCACGGGAGTTTTACTTTGGAGGAGTTATTTTCATGAGCAATCATGAGCAGCACAGCACCCCCCAGAGGCCCTGTCACAGTGCTGGCTGCAGAGCAAGGCCTGGGCTAAACACAGCTGGGCCCTCCCCTGGGCACCTGCAGGGAAGCTGCCAATCTCCTCCCCCAGTCACCAACAGCAGGATGCCGGTGCCGAGCTAAAGGAGATCACCGAGAGCCTTTTCCAGGGCCTTCCTCGTCCTCTACAAACACCATCCAGCCTGGTCAATTCCAGAGCCTGCCTCCTCCTCTACTGGCACAACCCGGAAAGGTCAAAAGTGACTGAGATTTCTCCAGTGGTTATGTGAGCTACGTGAGTCCCCTGATCCCCAGGTGTTCTCCTTTTCCATAGTAAAATAGTAATCATGTTTTTAAACTCTCTAATAGTAAAGCATAAAATAATACTAATATGTCTTAGTAATATTTTAAAACATTCAAATTATTCAGTTTTTATTTCTAATGTAACAACTTCCAATTTACGAAAACTCATAATCAAAAGCTTTTGCAGATACTCAGTCATTTTTAAAACCGGAAGCAAGTGCCAAGACCAAAATGTGAGCCACTGGTCCAGGGAGGAAAAAAAGCAGATGACAAAACCATGAAGCATGTGCCTACCACTGTGGCACGGCCAGCTGAGCTGTCACCTGTGCCACTGGCCGCCCAGCTGAGCACCAATCACGGTCCCCACTGCACCACTTCTGATCCAGCTCCCTGCTCATGGTCTAAGCAGCAGAGGATGGCCCAAGTACCGTGGCCCCTGCACCCACATGATGCATGGGAGACCCGGAAGATGCTCCTAGCTTCGGTCCAGCCCAGCACGGCAGCCATTTGGGGTGTGAACCAGTGAACAGAAGATCTGTCTCTGCCTATCTTTATAACTCAGCCTTTCAAATAAAGAAAACGGGCTGGTTCTAGCACTGTAGTTCCTCCATCAACCCATGACACAGCTGCCAATTCACTGCTGCTCTGCAACCCACGGGCGCTCTCCAGCTCCTTACCACCTGACTGCCCCCTCGATAAAAGGAGCCAAGAATTCAAGAAGTGAGATCCTAGCGTTGGGGTTCAAATAAGTAAAACGGGTTGGTATGGTGGTATAGCATGCTAATCCTCTAGTCTGTGGTGCTGGCATCCTACAGGGGTACTGCTTCATGTCCCAGATAACCCCACCTGAGTTCAAATAAATAAATCTTTTAAAAAAGAAGTCATAACGCAGGGCCTGGCACGATGCTCAATTAGTTAATTCTCCCCTTGCAAGTGCCAGGATCCCATATGGGAACCAGTTCTTGTCCTGGCTGCTCCACTTCCCATCCAGCTCGCTGCCTGTGACCTAGCAAAGCACTAGAGGATGACTCAAGCCCTTTGGACCCTGCACCCACATGGGGGACCGGAAGAGGCTCCTGGGCTACAGCCATGGCTTGTCCGGCTCCCAGGGCTTAGGGTTCCCTAAAAACACCAAGGGATAGCACACTCTCCACCCACACCAGGACTTCTCTGGAATGTGTGGGACCACCGGAGCAGGGCTGGTGGCAGGGATGGGGACATCCAGCCGACAGGGTGGAGGAAGCAGGGAAATCACAGGGCCTTGCCCTGCCCGGGGAAAATCAACAAATCTATAGCAGGTTCACTTTGAAGGCGGTAATTCTACATGATCATGAATGTAGCATAACAATACCCAAGCGGCCCCCTTCTGTTCCGAAGCCCAAGCACTATTCCCCAGACAGCCAGGGAGCCCCCCGCAGGGGCCCAGCTCAGCAGAAACCCCAAGCCACAGCCCCAGTCCTCCGCCTAGTGCCCCTAGAGCCCACCTACCAGTCCCACCAGCCTGGGCTGAGGCACCCTGGCCCACCCAAAGTCCATGCCCCATCCAGCACCCTACACTGGCTCCAGGGTCTCCTCCCACCCTTGCTGCAGTCTTCCTAACAAGTCACACTCTGGGGAAGCCTCCAGAGGGCCTGACCTGACATTTTCCTTGACCTGCCCTAGCACCACAGACATCCTCCAGGGAGCCACGCCCCTGAGAGCCCCAGGCTCCCGGCAGCTCCTCCTGCAAGGCCCACTGAGGCACACCCCGACATAGAGCCTCAGGGACACGGTCCTCGCTGACCTAGCATTCACTGAGCATGCGCCATACCCAAGCACTAAGGCAAGCTTCCTAACAACCAAGGTGAGTTTCTTGACCCCACCCAAGAGGTGTGGCGACCATTCCAGAAACTGAAGCTGAGAGAAGGGATGGGCCAGAGCCTCCCCCCTCCCTTCTTTCCAGCACAGGAAGGGAGGACTAGGCTTGAAGCCGGACAGATGTGGGTCATGTACCCCAATCCCCTGGCTCCCCAGTGTTCTCCCCAACACCAAGCTCACCTTTCCCAGGCTCCTGCTCTTAGGACCATACTCCAAGGTACCAGGGAAGCATCCGGGTTCTTCTAAGAAACCAGAAATGGCCAGTGCCCCAGCTCACTGCTGGGTGAGGTGCCCTCAGCTGCCTGGCAGGTCCCACCTGGGGCCTTGCACTAGGCCTCCTCGGCAACCACCAGGCCTTCCGAGAAAGACAATACCCACTTCCACCTCACAGGCTCCCTCAGTCCCAGCTTCCTTTCGCTAAAGTGGAAAATCCTAACAAGCTGACAGGGTCACTGCAAGAACCACAATGAGAGGAGGTTTGCTTTCAGAAATGCTAAGTGTCAGGTTGACACCAGTGCCAAGTAATGTCAAATCGGCCGTAAATCGCTCTGCTTCACCCGTCCTCGGCCTCCACCTGCTCGCCCAGCCTCCTTCCCTCCTTCCCTCCCTCCTTCCCTCCACCAGAAACCTCCCACAACTGCTACCAGGTCCCTTCCCTTGCAGTGGGTCAGGCCCACACTCCTGGGCTGGGCTCCTGGGCTGGACTCCTGGGCTGGACATGAGCCCGACATGGTCAGTCCTGAAGGCCACGCACTCCACATTTCCTCCCACCTGGCCAAAGCCCTGCCCACTTCCAAGGCCCTCCCACCCCTGGCTCTGGCTCTGAGGTGCCTCTACCCCTCTGGGGCTTCCAACACCTGCTCCCAATCAGTACAACATCCTCAGCTGGGGTCCGACGATGACAAAAAGAGTAGATGTCACCTGTCCCCATTCTAGGTGCCAGGCATGGTTCCCAGTCCCCTTGGGATCAAATCATGGAAGACCACACAACCACCCTGACAAAGGGGTCAGCTACTGTCCACAGAGGGACGAGAGGAAGGCCTGAGGCCCACAAGTGCCAGTCAGAGAGTGGCATCCCAGCTCCAGGGCCTCTGACATGGCCCCTCCAGCCTCCAGCCTCCAGCCCCCAGCCACAAGGTCCCCACCAGGAGCGGTTGTGCTTCTCAGGGGGCCGATGAGCACCAACACGGGGACCTCAGGGAGCCTCTGCAGAATAGGGGAGGGGCAGAGCCCCCAAACAGCATACTGCCCCCCTTCAGTTTCCTCAAGAATGCTGCGCCAGACCTATGTCTTTCACTAGGGTAGCCGCTAGCTCTCTGTGAATGTTTAAACACAAATTAAGCACCTGGTAACAAAATCTAAAATTCAGTTCTGTAAGACCAGCCACATTTCAAGGGCTCAACGGACGTGGCTCGCTGGAGGCCACAGGATGGGAGTGCATCCCGACAAGGCCCATGTGCATGGGATACCCTAAGCCAGCTCCTGAACTCATGGTCCACAAGAGTCCAGCCACAGGAACACCCACCCCACCCCACCCCCAGACTCACAGATGATGCGGGCAGAGGCCACTGGCTCTTGTTCGGCTTTCTTGGAAATCCTGCGTGACCGGCGGACACTGCCCTCCTGTTTGGCCACCAGGGAGTACTTCTGGACCAGCGACACACGGGCACCGGGAGAGGTGAGGGGGCTGCGCCGCACCGACTGAGTCTCTGCCCGCGAGTCCAGGGGCATGGAGAAGTTATCAGGCAGGATCGGGGCGAGAACGCGTTCACGCCACGGTGAGTCCCGGGAGTCCGGAGAGCCGGGGGAGGCCCTTGCAATCCTGAGCTTGGAGACAGAGCGCTCGGCCTCGACCCTTCGACTCTTGAGGTCCTGGGGTGTTGTCATCATGGAGCTCACTGTGACTAACTCCAGTCTCCCGGCCTCGGCCTTCTTGGGTGTTGCTTCCTCGTCAGATGTCGGGACATCCTGGGAGACCGGGCCCCGAGACCCAGACAGTTGCACCACGGCCAGGCCCTGTTGTAGGTGCTGCTCAGCATTGCGGTAATCACTGGCGCAGATCTCCACTATGGGCATGGCCAGCTTCTTGGTGGACGCTGGGGGAGACGCTGGGGTAGACGAGCGGGTGGCTGCCAAAGCTGCAGCCGTGGCGCGGGTGACCCGCCGCAGCACCGGCGAGCAGTTCTCCCCGACGGTCGTGGCCAGCTTCTCCACCTTGTCCTTGCTGCGCAGGTGTCTTGAGCTCCGCAGGCTGCTCCGGGTCTTTCTGCGCGACAGCCTGCAGGGGGGGCAGCAAAGCGGAGGCTGAATAAATTCAGCGGGGGCAAGCGGTAGCCCCAAAAAGCCTCTCACCCTGCATAGGCCAGGTTCTGCCATCTCTAGGCATAAGCCCGGATTTCCCTAACATAAACAAGGAACAGAACCACCCCAGCCTCAACACACTCCAGACACACGGTCTGGGAAAACACCCCTTGGCGTGACCCCTTGGTCCCCGTGGCCTCTCCTGCACGCTGCTCCCTGGAACTCCTTCAGTATCAAGTCCTGCCAGGACCCACCTGCCCAACCTCACTCCAACCCTCCCCAGCCACTCTTACCTTTTCCTAACAGGGTCTCTATTTTCATCCTGAACGTAAGAAATCCGCCTCTTCTTCCGACGGTTCTTCTGAGAAGGTGTTTTGGGCATCAGCTCCGGTTCTTTGCTGAATTCTCTGTTTGGCACGGGAGAGTGACATTCAGGGCTGCCGGGGAACCACTGCCACCCTCACGCCACCTGGCTTGGCACCAGCCTGTCTGCTGGAAGTGGCAGCCCAAGCCAGGGTGACCAAGCACGAAGCCAGCTTTCCAAAGCAAGGGCCAGGGACAGGCAGGAAGGTCAGCTCCAGGGGGGCCTGCAGCAGGCCCAGCAGGCCCTGCACCCTGGGCAACTCTGAGCAGGGCTTGGTAGACAGGTTTGGGAGTGCCCACCAGCACACCACCCACTGTCACCTGGTGAACATGCGCTCGGCCTCCTCCTCAATCTCCTGCAGCCACACCAGGTCCTTGTTGTCCATGTTGCACACGAAGTCCATGAGCTTCTGGTCACAGAGCTCCAGCAGATGAATGGGGCCTGGGGCCGTGGTCCCCATGGTGGCTCCGCCTGGTGGGTGAGAGGCACAAGGGCTGAGGCCAGGCCTTCTCCAGGGGAACTGCAAAATAGGCTGCCCCTCTCACCCCTAGAACACCACAGACCACCCAGAGGTGCGGGACCCCCCAACCGCCAATCCCCTGGCTATGCATGCATGCATGCAAGCACACACACACACACACACACACACACACACACACACACACACACACACACACAGCATAGCTGCCCCTCCCAGCCCCCGGTGACGGCCAGGGACTCCCAACTACTAATCCCCGTTTGCACGCACGCACGCACGCACACACACCACGGTCGCCAACACAAGCCCATGTTTCCTAATCAATTCAGCTTTATACCTGGCTCTCTGCCTTCCTGGACCCCTGGACCCCTCCCACCCTTGCCCACACACGGCCTGCTCCTCCTCTTCCACGAGCTCCACCCAGCACATAGCAGCTAAAGAAGGGCAAGGACACAGGCCCCCAGCCCTGCACGCGAGGCGTCAGGAACGTGGACTCCAACCCCCTCGGGGAGAGGCAGGTGAGGTTCGGAGGTCCTGCCTGTCACGGGCGAGCACAGACATGTGTGGGGCCAGAGACAGCTCTCCACACCCTTCCACACCCTTCTCCCTGAAGCAGGAGAGCTGAAAGCAGGCAAGGCCTTGCTTTAAACAGTCTTCAGCGTCAAGCAAAAGGAAGCACAACACCAGCTCTTGTTACTTTTCCTTAAGATTTGGTCATAAAATCATGGCAAAAGGCTCAAGTAGAGCAGAAGTGACCTGCTACAGTCATGGCACGGATGAACAAATATTCCGCTCGGCAAAGGGAGTGAAGCTGCCAACCGTCTGATCCCAATGGAGCTTCAAGCAGGGTTAGCTCGTGGGGAGCCTCCCGGGGCCAGATTTCAGGGGCACACTAGCCTTTGCTCCCTGCTCTTTCTGACCCCAGCACTGGGTGACTGGTGTCCACCCGTTAAACATTTGCTTCCTATGGACAGACCCTTGTCCCCTGGACTCACTGCTGGAAGCCCAGAGCCCTGTCCAGTGTCTAAACAGAAACTCTGCTTGTCGCAGGGAACTGACTCATCCACACACTGAAAGGCCACACACAGAGACATCATCAAGTGAACCACACAGCACAGGCTAGCACAGGCCCAGAGCCCCTGCTCCTACTGCCAGGGGCAGCCCGAATGGGCAGGATCACACAGGCTCCGGGCACAGGCTTCAGTTCCACAGCCAGCTGGGCATGACTGGGACTCTGCAGGGCCATCAGCCTCACACACACCCCCACCCCATCCCATCAGCCCTTCTGCACCCAGAACACAGCCCTGGCAAAGTGCAAGACTCCAGTTCAAGGTCGGCAGAGAGGAAACTCTGAGAAAGGCAAAGGAACTGCAGAGGAACTGCAGAAAGCAACAATTGGCTAACTTTTCTAAGTATTTGTTCAAGGTGGCAAAGTAGGTGAGACCTGTTTTAACATAATGGGGGGGGGGCGGTAAGCATTAGGGCATCCCCCACAAAGAGGTGCACACAGGCAGATCTAAGCTTGGGCATTTGAGTCACAGCCTGCAGAACAGATGTCCCTGGGAAAGGGAAGTGCCGTCTGGGGACAGATCCCACGGGGGAGCAGCAGAAGGACCCTAACAACCTGAGGGCACACAGCCCCCAAGTGAGACGGAAGTGCAACCTCCCCTCCCCTGCACTGGCCAGACCCAACATCCCTTCTATTTCAAAGTGCAAAAACCCGGACGTGGCTGGCCGAACAGCGCCTTTGCAGGGGGGATTGCAATGGCTGCTGCTGGAGTCCCACTCCATGCCCAGGCCAGGGGACATCTCCTTCCGTCCACCATCTCCAGCACACGAACGCACGTGCAAGTGAGAGAAACGGGCCCAAGAAAAGTCAGAGCCAAGTCACCCAGCAAACCCGGGCCGGATGTCAGCCTTTATCTCAAGGCAGGCTCCCAGGCGGGGCCAGCTGGAACGGAATGCGTCTGGCAGCATGCACAATTTAAAACGCTGCCCAGCTGGGCAGGAAGACGGGTGAGAGACCACCGAGCGGGGTTTACTGGGAAGAAATGGAGGCGGAATAAACCCGGAGATTTCGGGGGTCCTGCAGCCCGGAGTCCAACAAAAGGCCCAGACCGGGATATGAGGGGTACCCGGGGTATCCCGGCAGGGGGAGGAACCCGGGGCGCCCAGGAGAAGGTGGGAGCGGGCAGCGCCATCTCAAGCCGCATGTCCAGCGCCAGTCACCTCGTCCCCCGGGGACAGAGATGACCCCCGGCGGCCCCGGCTCCCCAGGATCGGGGGTCACGCCCCCGTCCCCCAGCGGGCGACCGCCCGCGCGTACTCACTCGGCTGCACCACGTCTGCTGACCCAACACAGGCAGGCTTCCTCTCCGGTACGCCGCCGCCGGCCCCGTCGCCTCTCAGCTCCCCGCTCTCAGGGTTCGCCGCCGCGGAGCAGCAACCGGGCAGCGCAGCGCGGGCGAAATCTACGATTTTCAAAACCGATGGCTCAACCAATCGTCGCCAAGTTTTTCTGGGCGGTTGCAAAACTCTAAGCCAATCACGTAACAGGGATGACCAACCTGGCTCTCCATTGGCTAACTGGATTGGCAGTCTCCGGGACTAAGAGGCGGGGAAAGGAAGCGTACACGCTTTAAGCCTCCCCCACTTCCGGGAACTGACTAGTGTAGAACTGAGTGAGCCGGTACCTCTCGATCCAGGAAACGCGCGCAGCCTCACCGGCCTGGAACTACAAGCCCCAGCGTGCATTGCGAAAAGTGCCGGGCGCCTGGAAGGGGACAGCGGAAGGACGCGCACCAGGAAGCTTCGCCTTCTGCGAATTCGTTGTTTGGGTACCACTGCGTCCCACGATTCCCTCCGTGCGTGATGTCAGCTTCGTGCCCTCTGTGATTTTTTTTTGGAGAGTAACAAAGCAAATGCGTTCTAAATCCCACCGGAGTTTGCGCTGTCCGCCCCCAAGATCACCACACGGAAACCAGTTTACAAGAGTCCCTGGACCAGGTGGGTCAAGGCTGAGAGTCCTTGCAAAATCAGGCAGTGATATCGGACAGAGTTGCATATTCGCGTGCTTTTCAGCTTTGTTCACACTGGCCAAGAAATGAAAGCAACCTTAAGTCCAGCAACAGATGATGGAATATTATCCAGCCCTTAAAAATGAGAAAATCCAACCAAATGCTAAAGCACGATTAAGCCTCGAGAATATTCCACTAAATGAACTAAGCCAGTCATGAATAAATGCGTGATTCCACTTCCCTGAGATGTCAAGAGTTGCGAACTTGTTTTTTTAATGCCAATATCCACAAGATGGTTTTATTTTTGTCACCGATAACATACACAACCCTACAACTGTATAGTTTTGTTCAGTTTCTTAAATATTACTTAAGTATGCGTTAAAAATATGTTTACATTTAAGAAATGTGACATATTAATGTCCTCTGTAAACATAATCTCTCAATATGTTTTCCTAATTATTTCATACCTAAGTAGCTTAATCTACAGTCACAAATAAAATGATCATTTTTAAAGCCTAGAAGTATATACATATTCTTGAGTAAGCCAAAGGTGGCCTCTGATTTTTTTAAATAACATGCTGTAATTTGCAGTGTTAATTATTTGAACAATTCATCACAAGTTCTTTGTCCTCAACTTCTCTGTGAATGAGAGACTATATCCATTGTAAGATGTTATTTAAAAAGTTAAAATGATCAAAAACATACATTCAAAAAAGTTATTATTCAAATATTAACCCTTTTGAAATCCATTTCAGCTTGTCTGTAAAACAGAAAATGCAAATAAAGGATGCATGCTTTTACTGTAATTTAGATGATATGTAACAAAATATGCAATTTGGGAAATAATAAAATCAGTTCTTATGAGTCTTGCAAAGAACACACTCAGAAATTTTCTAAAATTAACCTTTGAATCTCAACTTTGGTGAAAACTTTAAGAGTAAAAATAATCACAAAATGATTTTACGATGTAGTATTTGTAACTCCTGATGCAGAGCATTTAATTTTTTTTATGACTAGAAAGCGTTAATCCTCAGAAAATACTGTCTGTTCACACATACCACCCACCTAGTGATTAAGTAATCACTCAAGATTTATTCAGTAAACTTTCCCATTACTTTACTATAATAAAAGCAAAAATGAATTTTCACTGTATACATTTCTTTCAGTGTTAATTTATAGGATAACACCCTTTATGGGTAAAAAATTTAGAAAGAGAAACACCCCCTAACTAAAATTTTCATTAAATGACTCAAACTATAATACCAAGCCAAGTGCTGTCAGTATTTTGTAAATATGTATGTTCCTAAAAATTTTACTTTTCAACCAATATAAAAAATGACCTTTTCACTCTATCACCTGCCGAAACCTGTTTTAAAAAGTAAGTATTCTGGGCCCAGTGATGTGGCCTAGCGGCTAAAGTCCTCACCTTGAACATGCCAGGATCCCATATGGGCACCGTTTCTAATCCTGGCAGCCCCGCTTCCCATCCAGCTCCCTGCTTGTGGCCTGGGAAAGCAGTTGAGGACGGCCCAAAGCCTTGGGATTCTGCACCCATGTGGGAGAACTGGAGGAGGTTCCTGGCTCCCGGCTTCAGATCGGCGCAGCTCTGGCCATTGCAGCCACTTTTGGGAGTGAATCCGCAGACAGATCTTCCCCTCTGTTTTTCCTTTTCTATGTGTATCTGACTTTCCAATAAAAATAAATAAATCTTAAAAAAAAAAAAAAGTAGACTTTGTTAAAGAACGCACATTACAAGAAAGGTTTTCTATGCCCTTCTTTTACAAAACAATATTCTGATATACCAAATGAAAATTCAAATGATGCATGAAGTCCTGCCAGCTTTTAGCTCAATCCGACACAAATCCACAATTATTACACATAAACAATTCAAATTAAAGTTTATAATGGAAATGTCAATGAGTCGTGACATAGGTACTGCTGGGTTCCACCAACTTCAAGCAGGTGCAGAGGATGTGTGCATCTTACAGGCTGCTGAGCAAATTAAAGCTATCAGAGTTACAAACAAGGAATACAAAAAGATGAACTCTGCAGTGGCAAAGCATTGTGGTAGCTCATAACCACATTGCCTGAATCCCTGGCCTCCCATGTAGGCTCTGGTTTGAATTCTGGCTGCTCCACTTCCAGTCCAGCTCCCTGCAAGTAGCGAATGCTGGCCTGAGAGCTTGAGCCCTTCCCCTCTCCCTCCACTCCCCCATATAGGACACTCAGATGGAGTTCCAGAATCCTGGCTCTGGCCTGGTCTAGCACTGAATGTTTCAGGCAACTGGGAGGTGAACAAGCAGATGGAAGATTCTCTCTAACTCTTCAAACAAGTAAATGGGGGAGGGAGAGAGAGAACTAATGATGAGTTGGTAGAATAGAAGGCTTTGAAGAAGCCAGATCCACCTACTCTAAAATTCAACCCATCACCATAACCGGATGCTTAGTTAGAACCAACACCTGGGAGCAGATGCCTCCTGGGTCAGCAAGACCTGCGTCAGGCCCTTGGCCTGGAGGAAGGCAGCAGGCCCGTGTTGCACCATTGCCGCTTTTCCACTGCTCTACATCGCTTCCAACTGCAACCCTGCCAACTCCGATCTCCGAGTTCAGCACATTAGGGAAAAGAGGGTGCCCATGGGTCCAGGGACAGGGTGGTGGGGAGCTCCGGGCGGATGCAGAAACTGCTTTGTTTCTTCTTGTTTCCCACAGTCATAACTGCCAAGGCTTTAGGGTCCAGCAGCTTGCTCTGCAGATTCTACATCCTACCTACCCTTCTCTTCCTGTAAAGGGGTCACTGGTTTCCCAAACGGCTGCAACAGCCAGAGCTGATCAGATCTGAAGTTAGGAGCCAGGAACTTCTTCTGGGTCACCCACACAGGTGCAGAGTCCCAAGGCTTTGGGCCATCCTATCACACTTTCCCGGGCCAAAAGCAAGGGGCTGGATGGGAAGTGGAACAGCCAGGACACAAACTAGCAGCTGTATAGGAGGTTGGCATTTGCACGGGGAGGATTAGTCTGTTGAGCCATCAGGCTGGCCCCCAGAGCTCATCTTCAGAGCAGCAGGAATCCCAGTTTCCAGCTGGCCCAATACCTACTTTTTCTACCTAGGGCCCAGGCTTTCTCAGGTACACAGCTGGGCCCAGGACTTTTTATTCCAAGTCTGGGCCCATACCACTCCCTCACACTTCCCCAGACTTCTTGTTCTCCAACCATTTCTGTGATTGTTAAATTTTAAAGTTTATTTTTATTTAATTCAAAAGGAGAAATAAAGAGAGAGAATCTTTATATATGTATTCGCTCCCCAAATGGCCCCCATGTCCAGGCATGGGTCAGGCCAAACCTGGGCGCCCACAGAGCTTAAACATACCTTAAAACAATATCTTGAAAAAGTGTTATGTTTTTCATATTTGGCAGTATTTGTAAAATCACATGATATTGTATGTTGTTTTCATCAATTGTGTATAAGTAGTAATTAGAATGAGAAAGTCCAGAAGAGAAGTTTTAGCAGTTAGACCTTTACTGCCACAAATAAAACATGTTCAACTTGCATGCTTATTGTCTCAGAGAATTTTGAAAGGCAATTAATTTAAGTAGAAGCTTAAGGAAATTATATTGCAATAGTTACATGACACATATCTTCTAGATATATATTCTAGAAGAAAAGGAATGCCCATTTTTTTATCGTTAAAACTCACCATATACTACATTTTCTTTAATAGAATTATTTATTCCCCAGCTGTAGATATCTGCCTATATTGCCTTGTATATAGCAAGTGTTTCACTGCTGGGAGAAAAGTCTGATGGCATTTTGTGTTAACTATGCCAGTGTGCCAGCGTAGTTGCTTATTTTTTCTTTTCTTTCTCTCTCTCTCTCTTTCTCTCTCTCTTTTTAATATAAGTGGAGACGGTGGGGATCGCAGGGCCAGGACACACCCCTGTGGTCCCCAGGGGAAGGGAGTGTGAGGATGTTTGGAGTGGGAGCAACTGAGGGCATACTTGACAGAGAAGGGATAACTTCTGGCACTGCACTCATAGGTAAGCAGGAGAGCTGAGACAAAGGGGGGAGACCCAAGGTGCCGACGCACCGGCCCATGTGGGAGCCTTGAGCTGGGCTAAATGGCAATATTTGTCACCCCTCCCCCTCCCCACCTGCACACACAGGAGGGAAAAAAAATACTGAAACGTGACCCGCCCACCTTCCTCTATACCTGATCTTCCCCACTCTAATGAGAGGCCCACATGGGTGTGCATCCCTCTCAACTATGTAAACAATATTAATTTTTAAAATTATTTATATATTTTTTTTCTTTTCACTTGAGAGAAAGACACAGAGAGAGAGGGCTGTGTGAGAAAGAAAGATCTCTCCCATCTACTGCTTAACTCCCCAAATGTCTACACTAGCTGGGACTGGGCCAGGCTGAAGCCAGGAGCCAAGAACTCCGTTGAGGCCTCCCGTG